CAGGCGAGGTGGGGTCGGGTCAGACGCAGCGGGGGAGGTGGGGTCAGGGGTCAGACAGTGGGGGAGGCGGGGTCAGGGGTCAGACAGTGGGGGAGGCGGGGTCAGGGGTCAGACACAGTGGGGGAGGCGGGTTCAGGGGTCAGACGCAGAGGGGGAGGTGGGGTCAGGGGTCAGATGCCGTCTGGGTGGGGGTGGGCTCCCGTACAGTGCTCTCCCAGAATCAGCTGGATTTCGGGGTCTGGTCCCATCCTGGCCGTGAGCAGCTGTCGGAGGGGGAGGAGGACGTGTGTGGCCCTGGCCTGCCAGGGACCGTCCCACTCCCGTCCCACTGTTCTGCCCTGCACACTCCTCAGAATGCTCCCGAGGGCCAGCTGCTCAGGCCCCTCCTGTCCACTGCCCTCGTGGGGGTCAGACACAGCCGGAGGGAGAGAGGAGGGGGGAGGGGAAGGGGCGATTGAGGAAGGGGAGAGGGAGCAGGGGGCTGCCCCCCCACACCCCTGCAGAGCCCAGTCCTCAGCGGGGAGGGGGGAGGAAGGGTGGGAGGGGGGAGGGGGGTTCAGAGGCACGCGGCGCCCCAGACTCCACAGCCCTGGAGTGTGGCCGCTCCTGAGACACTGTCCCCAGCACCCAGTCACCCTCACCACAGGACACATTGTCTCCATCGTGAGTCAGTCACCATCACCACAAGATACATTGTCGCCATCATGACACAATTGTCACATCCAGTCCCGAGACAGTCACCCATCAAGACTCATTGTCACATTGTCACCCTCAGATGTGGCCATCTGTCTCAGGACACTTGTCACCATTACCATGAGGCGTTTGTCACCTGTCAGTGTCACAGGAGACGAGTTGCTGCATGTCCCTGAAGGGCCGCCAGCCTGCATGTGGGTGCTCCTGTGCAGTGCTCCATCTGGGGGCATGGCCAGTGGGTCAGACGCCGTGTCTGTCCCCCCCCCCCCGTGGGCCTGACCCCTGTGCAGGGCCCTGAGGCAGGAAGCTCCCAGTGGGCTGGCCCCGCGGGTGCTCACGCACTTTCGGTGTTTTTCATTATCTTAATTTTAACCCCGTGACGTCCCAAGCTGCTCGTGATGCGGTCAAATGTCCACCAGCGTCCCCAGTGTCCCACCTCCCCTGGGAGTGTGGCTGGTGTTGGACCCGTGCTTTGGCCCTGGGGGTATCCTGGGAGCGGGCTCCGGGTCTTTCGAGGAATCCCCTAACCCACAAGTTCACGCACGCGGGCAGCTCTGCCCACACAGGCACACGTGCTGACCTTCGTCCCTCTGTGAATAGAATGTCACCATGGCCACGTGACCCCGCGTCCCACCCACGTGCCCGAGGCCAGAAGTCCCCGTCCCCCTCCTGGCCTCTTCCAGTCCACGCCCCCCACACCCCCAGCCGAGCTCCAGGTGTCCCTTTGGGGCATCCCTTGGGGCCGCAGGAGTCCCTGACAGGCTGGAGGGCAGGGCCTTCCCTCCGAGATGCTGCCCGGGACTGACCACTGTGGTGGGGATATAACCGGCCAGGAGTGTCGTGCAGACACGTGTGCGCACCCATGTCTGTGCGTGTCCGCACATGAAGGCCTGTCTGCGAACCCAGCATCCTAAGTAGGAGACTGCCAGGCTATCTGCAGGGGATGGGGGGGCGGGTGCTGAGCTGTCCTCGGCTGAGCCCGTGCTGTGGCCCCGGCCCTGGGCGGCAGTCAGGGACCTGCAGGGACCTGCAGCTGGTGGGGTGATGTCCCCACGGCTCCCGTCCTCAGGGTGCCCAGGGGCCAGAAGGAGGTCGGCGGCGGGGCCCTGGGGAGGAGGCTGGAGGGGCGGGCGGCCCGCAGCATCGTGGGCAGCAAGTCGAGGGGGTCAGAGTCTGCGGCTGGGGTGCCGGGCACAGGTGGGGCCACATGCGTAGAGAAAGACCTGGTGGGGTGAAGGGTCGCTGAGTCTTGCTCCCTGACTTTGTGTCTGTCTTGTGCACGCACACACACACACACGCAAACACGTACACGTGCACAGATATGTACACATGCGTACAGATATGCACACACGCGTGCACACGCTTCTTTTCCTCCCCACCTTTTCACCTCTCGCAGCTGAGCACTGTCTGGGGGATCCTGCGCCAGCTGGAGGGCCAGGATCCGTCATACCCTCGACCACACTTTCCGTGCACGGGGTCCCGACCCCCCACCGGCCGCTCCCCTCCGCCAGCGGCCCCGCCCCCGCCCCGGCTCAGCTCTGCAGACCACGTTCCCGGGGCCAAAGCGTTTGCCGTTTGCGGCCTCTCGCCGTGGCCCTCTACGTCCCGCGTCCCGCGTGCGAGAGCTTTATCGCGGCAGGGGGCAGGGGCTCCGTGCGCGTGCAGAGTCAAGCTGAAGTCCCGAAGTCCCAGAAGATGATAAGTCAGAGATAAGCTGGCAAAAGGTTTTCCAAAATCCGTATGTTTGTAAAGGCATACGGATTTTAAGAATTAATAGCACGAATCGTTTTATGCTCCTTCATTTTGGACTTGCACGAAATAGATAAGCCTGCAGATAGGTGATGTAGTCAGTGTGAGAGAGAGAAATTTTAAAGCGTTAAAGGGAAATCTGAGCAGGCCTACGGAAGGATGAACGCTTGCCTCAGCCTTGGAAGGGAATGTTGGTTTTCCGCCCGGAACTGTTCCACGATAGATAATGCCAAGTGCCTGCGTTAACGAGTGAAAGGATTGTGGCGGGGTCCCCTTCGGACGCAGACGCATCGCCTGAGTAGACAGCACCGTCGACGTGAGTGGGCGGCGGTTCTTGGTTGGGACCCTCGAGAGGCCTCGGCCAGCAGGGTCAGCCGTCCCTCCTGGGTCCCGCGAGCGAGGCCAGGTCCAGGCCCGCTGCCGAGGAGTTCACCTTCTAAAGTGCTCCTTCAGCGACTTACCGAGCTGCTCTTAAGGCTGTGAGTTCCAGGCCTCTGCCTGTCCGTGGGCTTTGTGTTCACCTCCAAGCCAGTGACAGTCTGGCCGGACGGAGCGTCCTGTGGCCGCCTGTCCCCCGAGTCTGCTCTCTCCCTTCGCGCCCTCCAGCCTGTGGGTCACGTCTGCGCTTCCGACGGCGTCTCCGCTTCCCCCCGCTGCGCCCCTGCGCTGTCCCTGGCTTGGGCGTCTGCCATTCCGGGCTCGGGTGTTCGGGAGTTTTGTTGGGGGCGGTTTCCGCTGGGACCCTGCAGGTCTCGGCTGCCTCCGGGGTCCCGTGCCCCCCAGTCCCGCGAGGTTCCCCTCTGGGGCCCTTCACCTCGTGGCCCTCCATCGAGCTCTTCCTGTCCCCGGGGCCGCCGTGATCCTCCCGTCGTCCCTCCTGCCCTCACCCCCCGGCTCTGTGGCGGGCGGTTGGTTCCTTCCGTCCTCCCAAGTGCTCACCTCGTCCCAGGGCTTCTTCACCCTGTCTCAGAGCTCTGGGCTCTCCTCAGCTGCCCTTCTCGCACTCACCCCTGCACGCACCCCTACACTCACCCCTGCACACACGCTTCTGCATTCACCCTGCACCCTCCCACTGCACATACAGCTCTGAGTTCTCTCTCTGCACCCACCCCCCACATGTCCGGGGTGGGGGCGCCCCACAGTCCTTGCATGGCCCCCCATGCCCTCTGGCCATTGGCCCGTCCTGCCCTGGACGCAGCCCCTGTGCGTCAGACAGGATGGACATGAGGACTCCTGAAGGCCCAGGCCCACCCTGGCTCCCGGGTCACCCGTGGGCACTTCCTGCTGTGCTGTGTCGTGCCTGCCCCCACGGGCCCTCGGCTCAGTGGTTTGGTTTGGTGGGGGGGGTTGGGTTGGGGGCCACACCCGGTGGTGCTCAGGAGTCGCTCCTGGTGAGGCTCCGGGGCCGAACCCGGATGCGTCTGGGCTGTGCCTGGGGCCCCCTCGGCTTCCTGGTCGGGGTGCGGGGTCCGAGCTGCCTCCCGCACGCGTTGCTGCTGGTTCCGTCTCTTCCCCCCGGGGAGAGCAGGAGGGAGGCGCAGCTCGGAGTTTTCCCGAGGGTCCCCAGAAGCGCAGCGGGTCCCTGCAGAGCCGCCGGCCCCGCGCGCTGAGGCCGCTTCGGTGTTTACGGCACAACGACAGGTGAGCCCGCGCGTGCTCGCAACCAGGAGGAGCTTTTCGCGGCTTCTAGAATAAACAGTAATTAAGTCCCGTGCGCTGTGACAGTGGAATTGCTTCCGAGAGCCGCCCTCCCACCACGATTGCCGAGAGACCCACGTTTCTATAAACACGAGGTAACTTTATCCGTCGCTTGTATCAACGCCGTGTGGGACGGCTGCCGGGGCCTCGTAGCTCATGGCGTCGGCGACAGCCGGAGCTCATGACTGAAGTCGGACGCCGGCGGTCCCGCCAGCTTGCTCTGCTGAGCCCTGGGAGGCCTCGGGGGGTGCTGAACACCTGCGGAACGTTCCAGAAGCAAACCCTCGTACCTGGCTGTGCCATAAGTGGCCTGTCCATGTCCCCTGCCATCGCAGCCTCCAGAAAGCACTTTGCTGCCTGCCTGGCCTCGGCCCAGGGCTGTGGGTGTCACTTCGTGTGGCTTGTCACTGAGCGAGACGCAGGCGGCCGGGACACCACCTCCCTGGGATCATCGGCGGACACAGGCCATCGGGGGTCACGGCCGCAGGGTCAGGGCTCGCTGTGGGGTCCCCACAGCCGCAGGCCACAGCAGGAGAGGGCTCAGGTTTGTGTTGCTTTGTTTCTGGGGAGCCCCTCCCAGGCCAGTGCTCGGGGATTGGTCCTGGTCCAGTGCTCGGGGCACTGCGAGGGGCTGGGCCGGAAGCAGACCACGTGCGCCAGGGTCCGAGCTCACCAGCACCGCTCGTGGGCCGGCCTCGTGGGCAGTTGACTTCTGGTGGCGCGTGTGGGGCCTGAGGGGCGCGTTGGCACCTGCAGCCATGTCGGGAGATGCTGGCACTGCCCACGGCTCTGCCGTCCCCCGGGCACTCGGCGGGGACGCCACCGCAGCCCGTGCTGACCCTTTGCTCCTTCCCTTGCAGTCAAGTTCAGCAGCTGCTCAGGGCCCGCGGGGACGCAGTATGAGACCAGCAGCGAGGACTTCAAGGTCGAGGCGGACGGGACGGTCTTCGCCGCCCGGGAGCTGCGGGTCCCCTCGGGGCAGGTGGTGTTCACCGTGACGGCCTGGGATGCCCTGACAGCCGAGCGCTGGGACACGGTGGTGCGGCTGCTGGTGGCCGCCCCCTCGGCACGCTCCGGACACAAGGTAGGCCTGGCCGCACGTGGCCCCGCCGGGCTCTGAGGGCAGGAAGGAAGCAGGAGGGGCGCTCTCGCTCCGAGCCCACCTCAGCACGCGGCAGCGCAGGCGGCGGGAGCGTCTGGGCCGGGCTGCAAACCCCCAGAGAGGAGCCTGCAGAGTCGCTGGAGCGAAGAGGGCAGGGAACTCAGTGCTGCCGAGCTGCGTGTGGGCTGTTGGCCAGACAGGCCGCAGGGCCCGAGGTTCAAGGGTCAAGCTCTCACTAGCTCAGGAGCTCCCGTGGCCACGGGGTTAAACCCTCACCAGCTCCCGGGGGCTCCCAGGGCCACAAGATTAAACCTGCATCAGCTCCCGTGGCCGAGGGGTAAACGTTTCCTCACCAGCTCCCGTGGCCACGGGGTTAAACCCTCACCAGCTCCTGTGGCCACGGGGTTAAACCCTCACCAGCTCTCATGGCCAAGGGGTTGAACCCTCACCAGCTCCCGTGGCCGAGGGGTTAAACGTTTCCTCACCAGCTCCCGTGGCCGCGGGGTTAAACCCTCACCACTCAGCCCCCCCCCCCCCCCCCACTGAGAGGGCTTTGTGAGTCACTGAGGAGAGACTCCCAAACCTGCCCGGCTAAGGAACGCTTCTCCGGGAGCATTTGCACAGCAGGTGCCCCAAGGCCCCACCTTGGGGAATGGGCCATCGTGTCTGGTCCTAAACGAGTTGGGCGGGAGAGAGAGGTGGTGCTTTGGGGCCACTCAGCCCTTCGGTGATGAGCAGGACGGGGACTCTGAGAGCCCATGGGAGACGCAGGCCCAGGACCCCATGGACAGGAGACCAGGACCCACCACCCGGGGCAGCCAGACCCTTGTCCCATGCAGGGGCCTCTTCCGGCTCAGACATGAAGTTCCCGGAAAGGTGCCAGGAGAGCACTGTGCCCCGGAGCAGCCACAGTAGAGCCGGTGCTGCTGCTCTGACCCCGGCCAGCACAGAGTGTGACCAACTCGCGTGCACACACACATGCACACGTGTTCACACATGCAGACACATGCACAGACATATATGTGAGCACACATGCACAGACACATATGCACGTGCATACACGCACACATATGAATACACACATGCACACATATACATACACAAGCGTACACACTGACACACATATGCATACATGTACCACGTGCACGTACGTGCAGACACATGCACAGATATGCACACCCATGCGTGCACACACTCAGTCTTAGCCCTGGCACGTGCCCATGCACACATGCCTCAGCTCACACACGCTCGGGCTCAGCCATGCACGCACCTCCAGTCTGCTGCCGCCTGACGTGTGCCCCTCTGTGGACGCTGAGCAGCCGGGGACACACTGGGACTCTCGGTCCCAGTGGTCTCATTCCCGAAGGCTGCCCTCGAGGGGGCCTTCCCGCTCGGACCTGCGCACCGCGGAGGAGACGCCCGTGGACGGGGCCAGGCCAGAGTCCTGCTAACGTGGGGGAGAAAGACCACGCTCAGTCAGCGGAGACTCGCTGAGAGACAAGGCGGCAGCCAGGGTCTGGGGTCGGGCCTTCCGCGCCCAAGTTATGCCTGTGTTGGCCTGGGAAAGTCGTGACCAGACGCAGCATCGGGAGGGACGTGAAGGGCAGGGGAGGGGAGCAGAGGGCAGGCGGCTGAGTCAGGGCGAGGTGCGGGGGGAGCAGGGGAAGTCAGGGGAGGTGCGGGGGGAGTCGGGGAGCTCGGTCGGCAAACGGACTTTCTGCAGCTTCTGCCGCCTCTCTGGGCTACTTCCACAAACACTCGTGATCCCCAGGGGGCGGGTCAGCCCTGGGGACTGGCTCTACGCCCAGCCCTGGTCAGTGCTGGCCCTGCCGCCCTAGCTGTGGGCCAGCGGCTACGGGCCTCTGGGAGCCCGTCTGTGAGCGTTCCCGCCGCCGAGCCCGTCTCTCCAGGGCCCAAGGGCTCAGGGAGCCCTGGACACGGCGGGAGCCAGGAGTACCCCTGGGGTGGCCTGGGTCTGTTCCGCCTTGCACGGCCCGAGGCGAACTGTGGCTTCTGATCCCTTCCGGGTCTCTTTTACCGAGGCCATGAATGAGCCGGCGGAGCCAGGTGGGCTGTGGGCGTGGCCCCACACACCCAACTCTGGGCCGTTTAATTTCTCAGGAAACATCCCAATAGTTGGGGTCCAGCCAGAGGCACAGCAGCGATTTGGGTACCAGGAGGCCGAAGGGCACCATCAGGCAGTGGCACCGCACCCCGGGGCCCTTGAGTAAGAAGAGGAGGGGTCAAACCCAGCGTTCAGAGGTCGCCCGCAGGCGCCTCCTGGCCCAGCTGTCCCCCAGGAGCTGCAGGAAACACCAGCTGCCGCACCGTCCAGCCCCTCGGGCACGGCTGTAGCCGGGGCTCCCGCTGGCCCTTCCTCTTGCTGTGGGCACAGGGAGTGCAGGAGGCACCTGCAGGGCCTGCCTGGATGTGGGCACTGGCGGCCGGGTCAGCCTGGACCGGGCCCCTGCGAAGCCGGGGGTTCTGGGCCGGCCAAGGGGTGTCACTGGGCCGTCTGCGGGGAGCATCCCCAGCGCGGCTGCCATCATGGCCAGGGATGTGGGAACTGGCCTTCCAGGGGCACCTGGGCCTGCGTCCCCTCCATCGCCCCTGGCTGACGCCGCTCCCCGCGTCCGTCACCCCCAGATCGGTCACGCGTCTGTCGCAGCCTTAGCCTGCGATTTACCTGAATGCCAGGAACCGGCTCCGTATGGCCACATTGTCACGCTGTGGGGGGCTGCGGACTGGGAGCCCCAACCACTGGAAACGCCGCACTGGGTCCCTGCCGGCTTTTCCCTGGGCCGGGTAATGGCCGCCAGCCCCGGCTGGACCACAGCGGGCACCAGTCCTCGGGGGCAGCCCCGGGTGACCTCAGGCGATGGCGTTTGCTTCCACCCAGGCCTGGGTTCAGTCTGGGTTCGTGCCAGGCCGGGTGTGGGTGCAGCTGGGTCCAGCCCGCGGGCGGGAGCACTGAGCTCCAGCCCTGAACCCCAACACGGCTGCGGCGCCCTCTGAGGCCTGGGGCTCCCTTGGTGGCCCAGCCCAGGGTGGCCACGTGAGCAGCCACGCTCCGCCACGGCCTGTGCTGGAGCACCCTCCGTCCCGCCCGCAGTGGCCCCGATCTTGCCACGGGAGGAGGCTCCGTCCTCGAGTGTCCTTGTGTGTGTCGGGGGCTGGCCCGCGAGAGTCTCCTCGGTCGACGCCGGCCTCTCGGGTTCCGGAAACCCCCGTCACAACCACGCCTGCTCGGGCTGTCTGCATAGACGACCTCCGTTTCTTCTCTGCGATTCTCTCCCATTTGTTTGGTTCTGTTTGGTGGATCCGCCCCGGCTCTAGCTCAGGACTCACTCCCGTGGCGTGCAGGGACGCGTGAGGGTCAAGTCCTGGCCGGCCGTGTGCCGTGCCCGTCCTGTCCCGTCCCATCTCTCCAGCCTGACGTTTCCAGAGCCCTGACCACGCTGCGGCCGGTCCCTTCCTTCTATGGCTTCCCGGCCTGCCGGTGTGACTGCAGGGATGGAGCCCTGCCCCGCCGGCCGTGACGTGACGCGCCGTCCCCACCTCTCTCCCGTCCCACAGCCTCCGCGAGGGAAGAAGCCAGTGGGCGCCCAGCCCCCCGGGGACACCCTGCTGCCCTGGGCCCCGCAGCGCAGCCCCGGCGGACTTCGGCGGCAGAAGCGGGACTGGGTGATCCCCCCGATCAACGTGCCCGAGAACTCGCGGGGGCCCTTCCCCCAGCAGCTGGTGCGGGTAAGTGCCACCCCTGGGTGGGGAGGCGGGGATAGGCTGGGCCGGCCACAAGCTCCACGCGGACACAGGCACGTGGCCCCCGGGTCAGGGGCGTACTCAGGCCTCTGGCCCCTGACACTTCCTGTCCGATGGCTGCCATGCCCTGTGGCATGAGACCTGGGGTGGTCCTCCAGGGTGGGGGGCTGAATGCCCTGCTTCCTGCCGTGGAGGGCACCGGGCGTCTCCCCCAGGACAGCCCCAGTGCCCCCGCCCTTGCGTGACGCCCCAGCCCAGGCACCTCCAGCCTCCAGCGGGAGCTCGTCAGACTGTGCATGGGGGGCAGAGCAGGGGGTGCCTGCCGTGCAGAGAAAGGGGGACAGGTGCCGTGCAGGACCCCAGGGTGAGCTGTGAGGGGCCACGAATGCCACATGTCAGCCAGAGGGCTCACGGTGCCCCGGGTAGCTGCACTGCTGGGTGCTGAGTGCTGGGTCCTCAGCGCTGGGTGCTGGGTCCTCAGTGCTGAATGTGATATGTGCAGAGGCTGGGTGCTCTGTCCTGGGGTGCTGAGTGCGAGGTGTTCTCTGCTGCTGGCCATGCGTTTTCTGGGTGGTGAGTTCAGGATGGATGCACGGGGCTACCCTGCTCTGGTCCCAGGCGCCCCAACAGCCTCAGGGTGCTGGGCGGCCAGTGCTGAGGACAGGGGCCCCCACCGCCAGCCCAACAGGGTGACACAGTGCACGGACCCACCCTCTGCTGTGGCGTCTGCTGAAGACGGTTGGTGCGATCCAGCATGTGGAGAGGTGGGGGGGCAGGTGACCTTCCGGCCAGCCCTACGGGGCCCCGAGCCTGCCCCGGTCACCTCAGCTGCACGGACACGCTGTCGGCCTCTCACTGCACCTGGGCCCGCCTGCCGCTGCCCCTCCTCCTCGGGAGTGACCGGGCACCCGTGGCACCATTAGCCCCGAGGCGATGAGGACCCTGAGGGCAGCCCCCTGACACAGCCCGCGGTGACAGAGAGCCCCCGGCCCGCAGGCCCTCACTGTTGCCGGGTAGGGGCCCCGGCCGATCCCGGATAGAGGCTCCTTGCTCCTCTTCCTCCCAACAGCCAACAGCCGCCCTCCCCGCCCGCCAGGACCCCTGTGGGCTGCCCCAGGCCTGGCAGGAGCCTGCAGCTCGTCTCTGGGACCCCAGGCTGTCCCTCTCGGAGCTGCGCTCCTGGGGGTGCCGAGCCTCGCGCGGTGGCTGAGCCCCCCAACCCCGTGAGGCTCCCGGCAGGCCACACCTTGTGTGGGGGGAGTGTCAGCCTCTCCTCAGGACACGGACACACGTGCACATGCTCACAGTCGGCTCAGCGTGCCCGAGTATCTGCCCTGTACATGCGCACACATGAACACACGCCTACACACTGCCACGTCCACCTGTGAATGCGTGTACAAACACGCGGTGCCATCAGAGCAGAGCTGGACGCCGCGACACTGGACATGCCCCGCGGACCGTGGGTCCCTGCGAGGAAGCGAGGGAGAGCCTTCGGTCCCACCCTGCCCTGGGCATGGGCGTTGGCAGCTGGAATGGGGCCAGGGCCACAGGCACGCGTGTGTGCCAGCCCGCCGGCTGTGCCCAGGGGAGTCCGGAGCCAGGTCCCGGCCGAGCTGCCCGCCCGCCGCCCACATCCCCGGCAGCTCGGCTGCTTCTTGCCACGGCGGGGGAGGAGCGGCCCCTGGTCCCGCTGGAGAGGGGGCGCTCGCAGACCCCCGTCCCTGCCCACGCGTGAGCGACGGGTGTGGGAGAGAAGAAAACGCAGACGGACGCCCACGGACGCACCTGCCCCCAGCACTGGGCTGGCGGTCACGAACGTCCCTGTGTCTGGGCAGGGCTAGGTGGGCTGGCCCGGTCGCGCAGGGACCCTCCCCACCTGCTCCCCAAGACGGTCCAGTGCCCTGCGGAGCCTGCCTGGGCCATGCCCAGCCGGGCACTCCCTGTGTCAGAGTGGCCGATACGGGACAGGGCTGACCAGCCACACGGACCACGGCCAGGTGGGGGCTTCTGGTGGTCTCTGGTGCCCCGACCCCCATCGGGCAGCAGCCACCTGCAGGGACCCCAGGTGAGGGTGGGTGGGGTCCACTCACCGCACAGCTGCCGGTGCCCATCACAACTGCCCTGCAGCCCGGCTGCGGCCCCCGAGCCAGCGGCAGTCGGGGCGGGAGAGTGGGGACCCCCGGCCAACATTCTCCCTGACACTCTCCCCCCTTCAGATCCGGTCCGACAAGGACAACGACATCCCCATCCGCTACAGCGTCACAGGAGTGGGCGCCGACCAGCCGCCCATGGAGGTCTTCAGCATCGACTCCATGTCCGGCCGCATGTACGTGACGCGGCCCATGGACCGTGAGGAGCGGGCGTCCTATCACGTGAGCGGGGCCGGGCAGGAGGGGCCCGGGAGGGAGGGGCCCTGGGAAGGAGGGACCAGGAAGGTGGGGATCTGGGGAAGGTGGGGACCCCCAGAGAAGAGCCCCGGGAAGGTGGGGAGCTGGGGACCCTGGGAGGTGGGGCCTCCCGGGGGCGGCCAAGCCCACAGGATAGGGACAGCCCAACCCTGCCCCAGGCTCTGCAGGCGGCCGGCCGAGGGGTCGGGCAGTGGCAGCGCAGCCTGGGGCCGGGCGGGCCCGCAGCCTCCCAGGATGCTCCCACGAGAAGCACCGTGTGTCCCTCCCCGGGGCCCCCGGGGATGCCCCACCACAGCTGGCGCTGACGGGCATGGGGCCGTTCCAGCTCAGAGCCCATGCTGTGGACATGAACGGCAACAAGGTGGAGAACCCCATCGACCTGTACATCTACGTCATCGACATGAACGACAACCGGCCCGACTTCCTCAGCCCCGTCTACAACGGCTCCGTGCACGAGGGCGCCAAGCCAGGTGAGCGCCTGGACAGCGATGTGTGCCGGGACCGTGATGTGAATGCCAGGATCATGACTTGTGTGCCGGGACCGTGATGATGTGCGTGCCAGGATCATGACCTGTGTGCCGGGACCGTGATGTGCGTGCCAGGATCATGACCTGTGTGCCGGGACCGTGATGTGCATGCCAGGATCATGACCTGTGTACTGGGACTGTGATGTGCGTGCCAGGATCATGACCTGTATGCCGGGACTGTGATGTGCATGCCAGGATCATGACCTGTGTGCCGGGACCGTGATGTGCGTGCCAGGATCATGACCTGTGTGCCGGGACCGTGATATATATGCCAGGACTGTGATGTGTGTGCCAGGGCCATGAGGCACACGCCGGGACCGTGACGCCCACGCCCCACTGACGTGACCAGCTGGTCCCCCCGGCCCGGCAGGCACCACCCAAAGCAGGTGGCGTCTGGGCTCTGCGCTTCAACCCAGGGTGGACGCTGGGTCCTGGGTGCCGGGGCTGTGGTGCCCCTCTGCCCGCACATCAGGGGCTCCTAGGTTGACGTGCAGGAAAGCAGGAAGGACTCTGGCTCCACGGCGGAGGGAGGGGTGGGAAGGCCCCGGGCCCCTGCAGGATTGGGGAGCAGCAGGCGTGGGGAGGGACTCGCCTCCGGGCCACCGGCCAAAGGAAAGGGGCCGCAAGGGACCACTGCGGCCACATGGGCAGTGCCCAGAGCTGGCCCAGCAGAGATCCAGGTCTGGGCCCGGTTCTGCTGGGGCCCTGGGGGCGTCGGTGACACCACTCTGAGCCGGGGTGTAGGTGGGTGTTGGTGACGTCATTCTGGCCGACGGGGCGCTTTGCAGTCAGGCTATCTACCTCCGGCCGTGGGCCACAGGCAGGTGTCGGTGCGTGTCTGCCCCACCCGCCCAGAGCTGGCCCCTCTGGTGCTCTGGGAGAAGCGTCTCCCCAGATGCCACGTGGCCCCGAGACCTCCCAGCCCTGGGCTCTGCGGTGCCCAGGTGGCACTGGCCGTGTGGACAGCACCCTGTGGGCTCAGGGTCCGAGAGCAGACCCCCGCCTTCGGGACGGCCTCAGGGACGCAGCCAGGCCCCCGGCAGAGGCGCCCGCGGTGTGACCCGCTTTGCCGCCTGTGTGTGTCCCCCCCCACACACACACCCCGCTGGAGCCGGGAATCACTGCTGTGGACAAGGCCGGGACGGGCGGATTCTCCCGCTCGTGTGCCCAGATTTTTATTTATTCGGTGCCGGCAGAGGTGCCCCGAGATTAACGCCGCGGGCGAGTGCCCAGATGGCGCAGGTACTCGAAAGTCATCTGAATATTAGGCCTTTAAATCTTGAGCCTCAGTGATTTGCGCAGAAAGCCAATTATGGGGCTGAATTAGTTTTCGAATTAAACTGCAATTTAAGGCTGGTGAAATTAATCCTTTAAGGCGCCCGCCCACGTGTGGACAGGAGCCCTCACCCGTCGTGGGGTTGGCGGAGACGCGGCAGGGGCCCCTTGGGGGCACGGGGGTCCCTGTGGCGGCTGGCCCCGCCCAGGAGGCCCCTCTGTCTCCCCGGGCGCATCTCGCCCCCCCCACACCCCCATGCCGCAGGGCTGGTGCGGCCAGGGCTCAGGAGGCCCCCCGGGACCCAGTGCCGCTCTGTGGGGGGTCGTGAGAGACGCAGAGAGCAGCACAGAGGGCTGCTGCCCCCCTGCGTGGGCGGCTGCGTGCACCCCACCCCGCCCCCTTGCAGTGAGAGGGTCTGTGGAGTCCCCCCTCCAGGGCCGCCAGACTGACTGCTGGCCCTGATGCCCTCTCGGCCCCAACCGTGGTCCCCAGCATCAGAGCCGTGGACTGAGGCCACGCACTGCCCGGCCTGGCCAGCCCCAAGGGTGGGTGTCGTGGGGCCCTGCCCTTGTGGCCCCCAGGGCCCCCACGGCTCCTCCTGCATCCCCACCGGCCCTCAGCCCTGCGTCCCCTCGGGGAGCTGCGGTGCCCCAGGGAGCCGAGCCTGGAGGGCACCAGGCTGGGCCGTGGCTGTAACCAGGCCCCAGCGCGTGGCCTCCAGGCAGCTCCGACCCGAGGGCTGAGGGCTGGGGGCGAGCAGCTCGGAACCCCAGGGCCGACCCTGCCCTGCAGCAGCTGATCTTGGGCCCCGTCATCCTCGGCCTCGGTCCCCTGCCCTGTCCTGGTGTCCGAGGCACCAGGGGTGGGGATGAGGGCCACTTCCCCTCTGACACTCTCTGAGGGCGGGGCCCGGCCCTCAGCCCCCCTGCGCCAGCCACCCCGCCCGCGGCAGCCGAGCCAGTTCCTGCGCGCTGCCCGCACCCGTCTCCAGTCCCACGCGCCGCGCGGGGACCAGGGTCCTGGGATCTGAGGCGCAGAATCTCCCGCATGAAACTTCAAAAGGTTCTAAGGCGGAGGGAGAAGGGCCAGCACGGGGACGCGCTCACCTCTGGGGACAGAGCAGGGGAGCCCGGAAGAGAGGAGGGTTGGGCCACTCCCGGCTCAGTGCCCAGGGCTGACTCCCGGCTCTGTGCTCGGGACTGACTCCCAGCTCTGTGCTCGGGGCTGGCTCCTGGCTCTGTGCTCGGGACTTCCTCCCGGCTCTGTGCTTGAGGCTGACTCCCAGCTCAGTGCTCAGGGCTGGCTCCCGGCTCTGTGCTCAGAGCTGACTCCAGGCTCTGTGCTCGGGGCTCCCTCCTGGGACCCTGTGGGTGTCGGGTGGTCCTGAGTCAGCTCTGTGCCCTCTGGCCTGAGTCCTGGGGCATTTTCCCACCAGCCCCTCCCCTCGGGCTCTGCCCTGTTTCTGCTCACCCCAGGCTGACTCTCCCTCCTCGTGCTTGTGCGCGCCCCGTCCAGGGGCCACTGTGAGGCCCCGTCGTGCTTCCTCCCAGCCAGACTCTTCTCCGTCTCCCCCCCCACCTCTCCCCACACCGGGTCCCTGCCAGGCTCTCGAGAGCACACCTCCCGGGGCCTCTCCCACCGCCCACCCTGCGACGCCGTGTGGGCCGCGTCTGCACCTCCCGTGTCTCCTGGGCCAGCGCTGCACGGGGCTGGACCACCACAGGACCCGCGAGGGCTACTCTCCCAACAGGGCATGTGGGCGCCGAGCAGAGCACAGCTAGCTGCCGTGCTGCCCACGGTGCCCGTGTGCGGGTCCGCGTTCCGAGATGCTCTGGACAGCCCGCCGTGGCGAAGGCCGTCCCCCCCACCCCGAGGCAGCTGGCCATCAGCTCGGGTCCCTCAGCCCGACTCCGCCTCCCCCCCTCCTTTGACCCGCAGCAGGTGGTCCGTGTCGGTGGTGGCTGGCGCCCCACGGTCCAGCACCCACGGGATGCTGGGCGTCCCCGAGGACAGAGGCCGCACCTCAGCACCTGGCCCGGCGCAGGGGCCCCTGGGGCCTCCCCACCAGCCTGGACGCCGGCGCAGAGAGAGGCGGTGCCGACACCCATGGCCCTCCGCCACCCTCTGCCCGCGGCTGCCCGGCTGCCCGCTGTCCCTCAGGCCTCTCTGTGCTGTCCACTTTCCCGCCCTCGGCTGTGAGCTGCCTGCCGGGCCCTGTTCCAGGGTGCTGTGGGTGCAGAGGGCGGGGGTCCTGCCCAGAGCGGAGCCGGCACAGTTCGCACCCAGGGTACAGCTCACGCTGTGGGACATGAAGGTCCCTCCCCCGGACACCCAAAGGAGTGACACGTGTGTGTGGCGCGTCTCTGGGAAGGACGGCGTGGAGAGGGGCACGCGCTGTGCCACCCGCCTGGGCCCAGACAGCGGAGGTGCCGGCCGCCCCGTCCCCCGCAGCCCTTCCCGGACTCGCCCCTGGTGCTCAAAGTGGGAGGAAGCAGAGGCCCGGGCCGTGGGGTGACCCTAATATGACCCTAACCCTCACACCGGCAGCCCCCCGAGAAGCGGGTCCTCGTGCCAAGAGCCCCGGCAGACGCAGGCGTCAGGCCCGGCTCCGCGGCTCTCTGAACCTGGGCTGTCGACAAGCCGCAGACGCTTTCACCGCCCAGAGGCCACCGTGAGCCAAGCCGGGCGCTCAGGTCCTGTTGCTGCTCCTGGCGCGGTCCGGGCCGCTCCCGCCCCCAGGACGCCGCCTGGACCCTCCGCTGCCCACAGCAAAAGCCGCCTGGGGACAGGCGCTGAGGGGGGACACAGAGGCCCCGCGTGACTGGTCTGAGCACGCACCCGCGAGGGGCTTCCTCTGATGCCTTGTCCTGGCCGCCTGCAGGAGCTCCCGCTCCCTCGGGGGTCCGGGCTGCAGAGAGAGCTGGGGGTCTGGCCCCGAGCCCCCTCCCCGCAGGGGGAAAGCTCATGACGTCACCGGCCCATGGCAGGGAGCACATGGCCGTGGCGTGTTTGGTGCGTGTGCGGAGGCACCCGTGACCGGCTGCCCCCGGACGACTCTCCCGCAGGCACCTACGTGATGACCGTCACGGCTAACGACGCAGACGACGACACCACGGCCAACGGGATGGTGCGTTACCGCATCGTGACCCAGAGCCCGCAGAGCCCCTCCCAGAACATGTTCACCATCAACAGCGAGACCGGCGACATCGTGACCGTGGCCGCGGGCCTGGACCGCGAGGTGAGCCGGCGGGAGGGGCAGCAGAGACCACCCCGGGCCCACTTCCGGCTGAGGTGGGGAGTGAGGCCCGCGGTGCTGCTCCCGGTGCCCCCGCCCGGACCCCCGCACGCCTGACAGCCAGAGCCCGACTCGCTGCTGAGCCTGAGTGCCTGGGTCTGCACACGCGTGTGCACGGGAGTGTCTGTGCCCTGAGTCTGTGCACGGGAGTGTCTGTGCTGTGACCCCGACGAGGGCGGGTGCTGCCTCAGGGCTGGTGGCTGCCCCCAGACCCAGCCTGTGTCGCTTGCCCCCTGCAGCCGAGCCCTGTTGGCCGGAGTCCCCTGACCTTCAGCCTTTCCTGTTCCTCTAACCCCGTGAGCATCAGCCCTGCTTGGGCCAGGGATGTAGAGACCCCGCTGACCCCTTGGCCATCACTACTCAGCACGAAGCCTCCTCTAGACCTCACCTGGACAGCCACACACACACACACACACACACACACACACCCCAGACAGCGTCTCTCTCTCTCTCTCTCTCTCTCTGTTCCTGGGTGGGCGAATTGACCCCCCAGTGCCCAACACTCGCTGGGCAGGTCCACATCTCATCCCTCCATCATCCGTCCACACACTGTCCCCCACTGCGAGTCGACATCGTCCGTCCATCACCATCACCGCCCGCTCATCCGCCCGTCCCCGTCACCCTCTGGCATTCCTTCAGCGTCCCTTTATCCAGGCACCATTGTCCACATCACGTCATGCGTGGATCATCTGTCATGCATGGTGACCCTCCTTTGGCCAAGGGTCGCAGCCAGTGGGCACCCGAGGCGATCGCATCCACTGGGGGCACAAGGCACCCCAGGGGAGCGTCAGGGCCTCCCCTGTTCGGGTGCAGGGACACCCAGGGAGCCTGAAGAGCCTCTCCTGGAAACGCGGGAGCAGGGGTGGAGTCCAGCCACCCCACGGTGCTGGCCCGGTGAGGCTGCTCTAGCCACCAGGCCATTGCTTGGGACAGCAGCAGAGCAAGGGGTCAGCAAGAAGGGCTGCAGGGATTTCCTGATACCCAGAGCCCAGCATGGCAGCTGCCCTGACCCGTCACACGGCCAGGCCCATCCCTCACTGGATGGAGAGGCGAGTGAGTGGGGAGAGTATGGGGGGATTTATCGATGGATGGATTGATGGACGAATGATGGATGGGTGGGTGAGTGGATGGATGGATGGGGGTAGGTATATGGGTGGGTAGATAGATGGGTGGGTGGGTGGGTGGGTGGATGGATGAGTGGGTGGATGGATGGATGGACGGACAGACAGACGGGTTTGTGGATGGATGGATGGATGGATGGATGGATGGATGGATGGGCAGGTGGGTGGGTGGATGGATGGTGGATGGGTGGGTGTGTGGGTGAGTGATTTGGTGGCTAGACAGGTGAGTGGATAGGTGAGTGGCTAGTTCTATGGTTGTGTGACTGGACAGGTTGAAAATGGATGTGTGGAAGGGGATGGATGGATGTATGGTGAATGGATGGGAGACGGGTGGGTGGGTGGGTGGATGGATGGATGGATGGATGGATGGATGGGCAGGTGGGTGGGTGGGTAGATGGATGGGTGGGTGGATGGATGGTGGATGGGTATATGGGTGGGTGGATGGGTGGATGGATGGACGGATGGGTGGGTGGATGGATGAGTGGGTGGATGGATGGATGGACAGAAAGACAGGTTTGTGGATGGATGGATGGATGGATGGATGGATGGATGGTGAATGGATGGGAGACGGGTGGGTGGGTGGGTGGATGGGCAGGTGGGGGTGGATGATGGTGGAGGCGGATGGACAAAATGAGACTTGGCGACCCAACGCAACGGCAGCCTCCAGTCCTGAGGAAGCCTGTCTGCTGAGGCAGATCCCGTTCGCGGGGTTGGATCCGATTCTCTGTGCGCTCCCCTGGTTTTCCCGAATGATCGCTCCGTGCTGGGAAGTTCTTTACTGGGGTCCCTCCCTTGGGGTCCCCAGAGAGCCGGGCGGCAGCTTCCCCGAGGCCCAGGGCCCCCTCAGGCAAGGGTGCGGCCGGGGCCCTGCTTCCCGCCTTCCCACCTGAGCCCAGGAGGCCGAGCTGGAGAGGCTGTGCGGCCCCTCTGAGCCGAGCCCCAGCCCTGTCCCTCCCGAGCCGGCTCAGACACGAGCACGGCTCACCGAGGGGCCTGTCGCCTGCTGAGACCTGCCTGTCGGCGAGTGGCCCCTGGGTCCGGCTAAAGAGTGCGGCCTTGCGGGGCCGGCGGCTTCTCAGCTTTTCCGGCCCAGCAGCAAATGTGCTCCCAGCCGTGGGCGCCAGCTGCCACACCTGCCCGGCCGGGAAAGGCCACAGCCCTGGCCAGGGGAGCCGGCTGCAGAGGCACGAGACGCAGCCAGGCTGACACGCTGACCACCCCCCTTCTAGAAAGTTCAGCAGTACACGGTCATCATCCAGGCCACGGACATGGAGGGCAACCTGAACTACGGCCTCTCCAACACTGCCACGGCCATCATCTCGGTGACCGACGTCAACGACAACCCACCAGAGTTCACGACCAGCACGGTGAGGGCCTCGCCCAGGGGCTGGGGGCACCAGAGCGGGAGGGGGCGTGGTCGGGTGGGCGGGGCCAGGGCGGGTGGGGCGTGGTCTGGGCAGGGGCAGGCGGGGCGTGGTCCGGGTGGGCGGGGCCAGGGCGGGTGAGGTGTGGTCCGGGTGGGCGGGGCACGGGTGGGCGGAGCCTGTGAGTGTGGGCACGTGTGTACAATCGTGCGTGCACGCAAGTCCCATGCCCACTTGAGTCTGTGTGACCCAAGGGTTGGCCACTGACTCCAGTCCCCTCTGCCCGCCCGCCTGGGAATTCTGGGCCACTGTCTGGGGCGACGGTGGGTTCTGGTCCCGTCTCAGCCCCCGGTTCTTTGCAACTTGCTCCTTTCCCAGACCCCTGCATTGAGGCCCCCGGGGCAGGGGCGACTTTCCCCCACCCCCGCGGATTAGCTCATCCCGCTGGGGGGGCTGATGAGAAAACCCTCAGCAGCTCGGGCCAGGCCTGCTCAACTCGCTGGGTGCACTCGCCCCAGCCAGGCTCTCACCCGCCTCCCCGAGGGCTCAGCCCTAAATGCGGGCTCAGGTGCCCCCGCTGGCCTGGCCTCAGGCTGGGCAGGGAGAATTGTTGCCTGGTGTGAGCCCCCACTTGTCGGTGTCTCCAGAGCCCCGACACATGTGGGAGGTGGTGCCCACAGTCCCGGCTGTGCCTGCCCCAAGCTTGTCCCCCGTCCACCTTGCACTGGCCATGACGCACCTGGGGATGCCCTGAGAGAACCTAGGGAAACCAGAGAGAGGGAGGGAGTGTGTGTGTGTGTGTGTGCATGAGTGCATGTGTGTGCATGCATGACTGTGTGCATGCATGACTGTGTGCATATGTGGACATTATTTGAATATGTTTTTGTGTGTTCATAGTGTATGTAACTGTGATGTGTCTAACGGTGTTCGTGTGCGTATTGTGTGTGGTGCATGCATATGCATGGTGTGTGGATGGTGTGTACTATGTGGGGTGTTAAGTGTGTGGCGCATATGTGTGTGGCGTGTGCACATTATGTGTGCACATTATGCATGCATAGTGTGTACTGTGTTGGTGCATGCGTTGTATGTGCATGTGTGCTATTTCTGCACATGTGTGCGGGTGTGGTATTATGTGCATAGAGGAAGTGGTATGTGTGTGTGCAAATGAGTACGCGGTGCTGTGTGCACGTATGTTCATGTGTGTACATGCGTGTGGATTCTCTGCACATGGTTTGTGTGGTATGTGTGTGTACCTACATACGTAGACATTGCTCCTGTGTGAGGAATGCTGTGTTCTGGCATGTGCATGTGAGCACAAACATGCACATCACGTGTGTTCAGTGTGCGTGTGCATGTGGATGTTGTGTGCGTCGTGTACATGCATGTGCAAATGAGTGCTGTGTGCTGCGTATGCTTGTTGGTGCGCACATGTGTGTGCACGTGTGTGTCATGCCTGTGTGTGGACAGGCTGACTTGGACGTGGCCACGAGCAGAAACGGGCTCGCTGCTGGGCCTGAGCTGCAGGAACGAGAGACCCCGGGACCCCCCAGCTCCGCACACGGGGCCAGGCCGAAGCACCGGGCCGGCCCCGGGCTCACACCCTCCCTGACTCCGCAGTACGCCGGGGAGGTCCCCGAGAACCGCGTGGAGGCCGTGGTGGCGAACCTCACCGTGCTGGACCGGGACCAGCCGCACTCGCCCAACTGGAACGCCGTCTACCGCATCATCAGCGGGGACCCCGCGGGCCACTTCAGCGTGCGCACAGACCCCGGCACCAACGAGGGCCTGGTCACCGTGGTGAAGGTGGGCGCCGCCCCTGCCGGCCGCCCGCCCGCCCACAGCACGGGAGCGAGACGGTGCTCGTGGCACACCCTGAGGGCCGGACCCGCACAGGCGGCCGCTCACCGCCTCGTTCTCACACGCACACATGAACACGCCCTCATACGGGCACACCTCTAACACAGGTGCACACCCTCACACGTGTGCACATACATGTACACACATGCACCCTCACACACACGCACCTTGACACTCACATACACCCTCACATGAGCACACACCCTCACACATGCACATGCATGCAGTTACCCTCACACACATGCTTACCCTCGCACGCGTGTGCCCTTACACATGTACACACCTTCTCACACATGTACACGTGCACACACCCTCACACACATGCATATTCACACGTGCCTGTGTACCCTCACACACACCAGCCTCACACGCCCTCAGCCGCATGCCCCCGCTCAGTCACACCCTCGCGCATGCACAGCACGTAAGGGTCCCCTTGCCTGGCCCTGTCCACCCCCACTTTCTGACCTGGGATTCTCCAGGCCCCAGAGGGAAACTGAGTCAGACGTGACAGCACCAAGCGCAGCTGCCGGCCGTGTGGGAAGGTGCTTCCGTCTCCGGCGTCTCGGGGCTGCCGGGGAGCGTGGGGGGTTCGTGCTCCGTGACCCCAGGTCTGTCTCTCGGTCGGTTTCCACCCGCTGATTTTCCTTCTCGGCCGAGGCCCGAGCTGCCCGGGGCCGTCTGCCTCGGTGGCCCTCGCCAGGAGCACAGAGAGAGGGAGGGTGTGTGGGGCGGAGGGAACCGCCTGCCGGGGCATTCAGAAGCTGCGTGTCCCGCACACCCACCCAGCTAACGTTCCACAGCGCTCTCCTGACCGAGAAGGTTCTAGAAACTACCCTCCGATGCCCGTAGAGCCGGTCGTGGCCAGCGGCGCCCCTTTCTGCCACCCAAGGTGCTCTCGGGACTTCATGTCCCAAACAGCTGCCCCGGCCCAGGCTCCCCAAGCCCGCTGCTGCTGCCCGGAGCTCCCGCGGTTTTGGCGGACGCTGGGGGCAGGCAGGCGGCCCTGAGCCGCCTTTCGGGTCCCCAGCCTGGACCTCCCCGTCCCCCCGGGGGGCACAGCTGTCAGACGCGGTGGGGGTGCCTGCCTTCCTGACCCCATGCCCTCTGCGTGTGCCCCGGCAAGGTCCCCGTGCCCGGCCTCTGCTCCGTTGGCCAAACCCCGTAGGAGACAGACGCCAGGAGGGGGCCATGGGGGCTGGAGCTGCCGGGGCTCATGCCCTGCCCTCCCCCTCGCTCTCTCCCCCTCCCTCCCTCCTGCTCCTCCCTCCTCCTCCCCCTCCCTCCCCATCCCCCGTCCTCTCCCCTCCTCTCTCCCTCCCGCCCCAGGCCGTGGACTATGAGCTGAACCGTGCCTTCATGCTGACAGTGATGGTGTCCAACCAGGCGCCCTTGGCCAGCGGCATCCAGATGTCCTTCCAGTCCACGGCCGGGGTCACCATCACGGTGGTGGACGTCAACGAGGCCCCGTATTTCCCGTCCAACCACAAGCTCGTCCGCCTGGAGGAGGGTGCGCGCCCGGGCACGCTGCTGACCACCTTCTCCGCCACGGACCCCGACCGCTTCCTGCAGCAGGCCGTGAGGTGCGGCCGCCCCACGCGGTCCTGCACACGGTGCCCCCGCCCTGCACACGGTCCCACGCACGGCCCCACACGCGGGTCCCGCACGGGTCGGGGCAGCGGCTCCCATCCTGGGCCCGACGCGAGGTGGACACGCGGCGCCCGCCCCTGGGCTCAGCCCGCGTCCCCCCTCCCCCACCCCCGCAGGTACTCGAAGCTCTCGGACCCCGCGGACTGGCTGCTCATCAACGCCACCAACGGGCAGGTCACCACGGCGGCCGTGCTGGACCGCGAGTCCCTCTACGTCAGGAACAACGTCTACGAGGCCACCTTCCTCGCGGCTGACAACGGTGTGCGACACGGCCGGCCCAGGGCCTCCGGCCCCACCCTGAGCGCCCGAATGAGGGGACACGCGGGCTGTGTCACAGAGGGGGCGTGAACGTGGGTGGGCGAGTGTTGCGCGTGACAGGCGCAGGGTGGTGTGTGCGTGTGCGTGCGGGGCTGCGTGGCATGTGTGGGGCAGCTTGTGGCTGAGGCAAGGTCAGGAGCGCCTCCTGGCCTGTCCGGGGTCTGTCCGCGCAATGTCCTGCGAACTCTGTTCTGCCCCGTGGTCTGTCCTGCGGGCCATGAGTGGGCTGGGGGCTGGTCTGGTGCCCAGTGGCGCCCGTGAGCACGGCCTGCCCTGCGTCCTGCAGGAGTCCCCCCGGCCAGTGGCACGGGAACCCTCCAGATCTATCTCATCGACATCAACGACAACGCGCCCGAGCTGCTGCCCCGGGAGGCGCAGGTGTGCGAGAGGCCGGGCCTGAGCGCCATCAACATCACCGCCGCCGACGCCGACATGGACCCCAACGTCGGGCCCTACGTGTTCGAGCTGCCCTTCGTCCCCGCCGCCGTGCGCAGGAACTGGACCATCACCCGCCTGAACGGTGAGCCCAGGCACGCGGGCGGCATCCCGGCCCGCTTCCCGTGGCACCTGTGGGGATGGCCGTGGAGGTGGCCAGGAGCGAGGGCTGGGTCCCAGCAGCGGCACACGTGAGGGGCCCCGTCCTGGGCGCTGGCGGTCAGCTCCTCTGGGCGGCCCGTTGGCCTCCTTGTAAGAAGATGCCTCGGCCAACGGCTCCGTCTCGCTCCAGGAAGCGCTGCCGCGTCGGCTCTGGGGGGCAGTGTCGGGGCACGCGTGTGCCCGCATGAGCCTGTAGGTACACGTGTGCAGTGCTGGGCACGAGTGCCCTGAGTGCAGCTCTGCGTGCGTGTGTTGTGTGACGTGAGTTTGGGGGGTGCGTGTTGTGTGCCCGGGGTGCGTGTGCATTGCGTTGTGTCCTTTGGAGGACCGTCGTGCTGTGTTCTGATCACACGTGTGCCTTTCTCGTGTCTGTGGTGTGCGCATGCGTGTGCCCCTGCACACTCTGTGTCTGCTGCGTGCATACATGTGCACGTGTTTGTGCGTGTTGCGCGGTGTGAACTTGCCTGTGCACCTACAGCCGGTTGTGTTCCCGTCACGTCTGTTGCGTGTGCATAGGTGAGCACTGTGTGCATGTGTGTGCGTGTGCGCGTGTCGTGTCAGGCCGTGGTGTGTGCTGCGGGGCGCGCGTCAGTGGGGAGCGGGTGGTCCGGTCGGTCCCCGTGCTCCCGGGTTCGGCACACCCCCGACGGCCGTGTCCCCGCCAGGCGACTATGCCCAGCTCCGCCTGCGGGTCTTCTTCCTGGAGGCCGGCGTGTACGAGGTGCCGGTCGCCGTCACCGACTCCGGGAACCCGCCGCTGTCCAACACGTCCGTCATCAAGGTCAAGGTGTGCCCCTGCGACGACCACGGGGACTGCACCTCCGCGGGGGCCGTGGCGGCCGCCGGGCTGGGCACCGGCGCCATCGTGTCCATCCTCCTGTGCATCGTCCTGATGCTTGGTGAGTGCAGCCGCGGGCGCCGGGCCCCCCTCACCAGGAACCTTCCGGAAACCCCACGAGGCCAGGAAACTGGCTCGGGCCCGCCCGGCCAGTGTGGGTGGAGGCCAGCCTGGCCCAGCAGTGCGGAGACCCCGGCCTGACCGCGTCCACCCCGCTGCCTCCCAGGAGCCGCCCAGCCCCGTGGCCTTGGCACGGCGGGGCCACGGCCCCCTGCAGGCCACAGCCCCTCCCACCCGCGCCGGGAGCTCCTGCCTGACACTCCTGCAGCCACGCAGAGGGCGGGGGGCCCACAGCCTCCTCCAGACCCCAGCCCACAGCTCCAGCACACACGTCAAGCACACAGGCATGCAGGAGGACCGACGGGGACACTCGTGAAAAGCAGCACATGGGAACACACGTGATGTGGGCACACATGCACGGACACATGGGTAATGGGTGACACCTGACACACATGGGCACCTACCATGCAGGTGCACGCACGGTCACACGCATGTACACCGGATACACCGGCACATGAACACACACGTGCGCATACACGTGGACACAGATGCGTGCACTTGCCATGCTCACAGCCACACGTGCACACACAGACACACGCGTGCACGTGTCCTCAGAGCCGTGACGCGCACGTGCGCACAGATGCACACAGGAACACAGGCCCGCACGCGTGCTCGTGGGCACTCACGTCGTGGCCGGTCTCGTGGCCCCGCAGTGCTGGTGCTGCTGTTCGTGGCCTGGATGCGGCGGCGTGAGAGGGAGCGTCACACCAAGCAGCTGCTCATCGACCCCGAGGACGACGTGCGGGACAACATCCTCAAGTACGACGAGGAGGGGGGCGGCGAGGAGGACCAGGTGAGCCGCGCGCGAGCGGGCGGAGGGCGGGCCGACCCCACGTCCACTGCCCGGTGCTGGGCAGCCGAGGGCGCGTCCACCCCCAGGAGAGCGCAGGGACCCCAGCTCCAAGTCGCTTTGAGAGATGAGGAGAGTGTGATGCGTCCTGAGTGCTGAGTCCTGATTGCTGAGGGCGGAGTGCTGAGTGCTGAATACTGATTAGTGAGTCCTGGGTGCTCAGTTCTGAGTGCTGAGTCCTGATTTGCTGAGTCCCAAGTGCTGAGTCCTGACTGCTGTCTCCTGGGTACTGGGTCGTGTGTGCTGGGTTCTGAGTGCTGAGTGCTGAGTCCTGAGTCCTGAGTCCTGACCAGTATCTGCTGGGTGCTTGGTCCTGTGTGCTGGGTTCTGAGTGCTGAGTCCTGAGTCCTGATTGCTGAGGGCTGAGTGCTGAGTGCTGAGTACTGTTTGGTGAGTGCTGAGTCTCGGGTGCTGAGTGCTGGGCGCTGAGTTCTGAGTGCTGAGCCCTGATGTGCTGAGTCCTGAGTGCTGGGTTCGGAGTGGTGAGTCCTGAGTCCTGACCACTACCTGCTGGGTGCTTGGTCCTGTGTGCTGGGTTCTGAGTGCTGAGTCCTGTGTGTGCTGAGTCCCGAGTGCTGTGTGCTGAGTTCCGGGCGTACAAGTGGACGTGAGGGTTCCGTGAACACGGGATGAAGCGTCCGGGGCTGAGGCAGTGCATGCGAGGCGGGGCCCGTCTGCAGAGCAGGCGCCGCTCTGGGCCCGGTGCCTGCCTCAGTGGCGCCCCTGCCCGCCCCCGCCCCCGCCCCCGCAGGACTACGACCTTAGCCAGCTGCAGCAGCCGGAGGCCATGGAGCACGTGCTGAGCAAGGGCCCTGGGGTCCGGCGGGTGGACGAGCGGCCGGTGGGCGCCGAGCCCCAGTACCCCGCCCGGCCGGTGGTGCCGCACCCAGGGGACATCGGCGACTTCATCAGCGAGGTGGGTGCCCCATGTCCTTCCCCGGGGCTGCCCCGCGGCCCCAGGGAGCAGCGGGCACTGGGGTCCGGTGCGCCGCCCGCCTGACGCGCTTCTGCCGCCCAGGGGCTGCGGGCCGCCGACAACGACCCCACGGCGCCCCCGTACGACTCGCTGCTGGTCTTCGACTACGAGGGCAGCGGCTCCACGGCCGGCTCCGTCAGCTCCCTGGACTCGTCCAGCTCCGGGGACCAGGACTACGAGTACCTGAGCGAGTGGGGGCCGCACTTCAGGAAGCTGGCGGCCATGTACGGCGGCGGCGAGGACTAGCACGCGGACGGACCGACGGACGGGCGGGCGGGCGGACAGACACGGCGCCCGCCCACCCCCGCTGCTGCCGCGGCCCGGGCCCAGGAGAGCGCGGCGCTGGCCAGACCCGGACCCGGAGCCGAGCGCCGACTCCGAGAAACGAAAGTGCCTTTTGGCGCACGTGTCCGACCTCACTCAGGACTGGCCGGTGACGCCCGCAGGCCAGCGCTGGCCACTGCCGGCCACGGCAAGACGGGAAGCCGGCGTCAGTCTGAGGAGAAAGGGCGGCGACTCGCTTCGCTGCAGGCACCCCTGCGGTCACGTCCAGCCGGGCTCTCGGGTGCGCGGCTGTGGCGGACACGGGCTGACCCTGGCGCTGCCCACCTCTGCCAGGGCCGCCCGGCCCCAGCCCGCTCCCCCGGGGGTCGGCGCCGGACCCACCTTCGCCCGCCCACCCGAGGGGCCGGACCCCCGACCGGGACCCTCAGCCTCTGTCCTGCGCCCGCCCCTCCCCGGCCCCCAGGAGGGCGAAGGCACCGTGGCCAGCGCCAGCCTCCCACCCCAGCACTTCAGGGAAGGGGGAGGGGACGGGCCGGGGGTCTGCCCGGTGCCCCCGTGTGCCCCCAGCTCGTCTGGAGTCCGGCCGGGCAGGACCTGCACAGCTGCATGCCTGGTGGCCGGTGAGCCCTGGGTCCACCCTCCCCCGTGTCCAGCTCTGGGCAGGGGCCGGCCTGGCTGCCCCAGAGGCCCCGGGACGGGAGGGGCAGCCTTGACCTGTGTCCCTGGGGCCCCGCCCGGTGCCTGGGCCCTCCACCGCATGTTCGGCAGGGGTCGGGCAGCCGGGGGCGCCGAGTCCAGCCGCAGGGCCCGGCCTCCCCTGCTGGGCCCGGGGGCTCTGCCCGACCCTGCAGCCAGGGCCCCGCGGGCAGTGGGGGCAGCGGGCGGCCTCCACAGCAGCCCGTCCAGCCCGGCCGGGGCCCTCGAGTGTGTCCATGCCGGCGCCCACCGCAGCCCCCGGCCCGTCCGCCCCTCCCCCTCCTGCATGTTTGTTTGGAAACGGACACACCGTAGCAGCTCGCATGCCCGTGGTCGTCCTGGGGAAGGTTCTGGAGTCTGATGCATCGCGCTGCGCCTGGGGGGCGCTGGCACACGGTCCACAACTTTTGTAATCGCCAACAGCACAACTATTTTGTATCGTTGTTTGTATCGTTTTGTACCAAAAAAAAAGGCAAAAAAAAGGCCGAGCGGCGATGTTCCCGTCGGGCGCCCGAATAAACCCCGTTAATAAGCCCGTTAATAAGCCCGTTAATAAGCCCGTTGATACGCCCGTTCGTAAACCCCCCCCCCGCCTCCGCCCCCTCCCTGGGGCCCCGCCCTCGCCCTGCTGCCGCGTCCGGCCACACCCTGCGGCGCTTGGGCGTCCTGGCTCTGCCCGGGGTCACGCTGGGTGGCATTTAGGGGACCATCCCGCCACCGGCCCCTCCGTCCCCACGGCCTTTCCTCACACCCCGTGTGGCCGCTGGGCGTGTCCCCGTCTTCCGGCCAGGCCCCTCACAGGGCAGAGGATGGGGACGCGGCAGGGCCGGGGAGGGCGGGGACGGGCTGAGGCAGCAGGGACCCGCACCAGCCCACTGCCCCCGGGGTCCCAGGCACATGGTGGCCCTGCTCGCCCCTGTAGCCTCCGCAGCCTCAGCACCCACAAATGCCCCCCGCAGTCCCCAAAGGGGCAGCCGGTGGCCAGGGACAGTCGGGATGGGGCAGCCGGGAACAGGCACGATCGGGCACCTGCAGTTGGTGCTGAGCCAAGTCTCGCCAGCTGTGCCCGCAGGGGCCCGGCGGGAGCCGGCAGGGAGGGGCCTCTGGGGCACCCCACACTGAACCGGGCCTGCAGCAGCGAGACGGGGGGACACGGCGTCACACGAGCCACTCCCGCTCGGGGGATGGTGCCCTCGCCCCCCCCCGGGGCTCCTTGGCCACAAGGTGTCAGCGTCTGCCCCAGCGAACACCCCTGGGTGTGGGCACCACAGGGACCCCGTGTCCACACGGCAACATGCACAGGTTTGGGGGCATTTTCAGATGACCCGGTGGACCGGTGGACCTAGTGGCCGCCCCAGCCTCCCGGCCTCTCCCCACCAACCCCAGAGACGTGCTGGCCCGAGCAGGGCCAACCTGGACCCCACAGGCCTCTGGGGCAGGGCCCAGCGCCCGAACACGCTCTGACCAAGGGGGATACGCCTGTGTACCCCGTTCCCTGCACCCTGCCAGGTGAGACCCGGGTGGTCCCAGCCCCAAGAACACCCCCCCCGGCAGACGCCCTGCTAGAGCTGCACCGCTCCCGCGGGCCACACCCAGTGCCAGCAGCGGGCACGGCAGGGCCCTGGTTGGAACGCAAACCCAGGTCTCTGACACCTGCAGCTGGGCTGGCCCGTCCGAGGGGAAGAGGCTGAGGGAGCTCACGAAAGGGGAAGAAAGAAAAGGGGGGCGGGAAGTAGGGGTGCAAGGAGGAGGGTGCAGTCCCGCGCAGCCCCCAGGGGCAGCCCGTCCTGCCCCGCCGGCCTGTCAGGGCCCAGCCCACAGGGGTGTGGCAGGAAGAGTGGCCTGCGGTAGGCCCGAGTCTGGGGGCTCAGGCACGACCGGCGTGAGGGGTCACCGTCACGGGGGTTGGTGATTGTGACGTTCCCGGGTGGGCATCCACGGACCCATCCCCGCCCACATCCTGCCTGAGCCTTGCTCACCCCCGTGTTCCGCCTGCCGCTGCCACCCATGGCCCCCCAGGGATACCCTGCACCCCGCCCCCGCATCTGCTGCGTGCACAGCTGTGACCTCCAGCAGAGCCCGGGCACCCAAGGGGGCAGTGCTGTCCTAAGAGAGGGCTGGAGAGGCCTAACAGCTGAGGGAGCACTCGGGAGCACTCGGCATGAGGAGCACTCACTGCTGAGCACTAGTCAGGGAGCACACACTGCTGAACACTGGTCTGAGCACTCACTGATGAGCACTAGTCTGAGGGAGCACACTGCTGAGCACTGGTCTGAGTACTCGCTGGTGAGCACTGCTCTGAGGAGCACTCACTGATGAGCACTAGCATGAGAGCATCCCTGCGTGCATGAGCGTGTGGCTCCTGGGACTGCAGGCGGCGCACCGCCCCCTCCCGTCTCCCACGTGCTGCCGCCAGCACGAGGACAGTGAGCAGGTGACATTGGGCTACGGATTGCCTGAGGAGCAACAACAGCCCAGAACCACCCCCCAACTGAGCGCAGTGCTCCCCGCGGTCTCCTCACAGTGCTCCCCTGAGCCTGGCGGCCAGCCGGTGCCGTGTCAGAGCCGAGTGTGGCCCGTGGCCTCTGCAGAGACGGTAACACCAGCCGCTCGCCTCACCTCACAGCTCCTGCACACAGGGGCCGAGACCCTCTTTGAGCTGGAGGGGGGTTCCGGCGCGGCCACCAGAGGGCTCCGTGGGCTGCAGCCCGCCCCTCACTCTGGGGGTCCAGGACGGGGCCCCCGTCCACATGGGACTCGCTGCTCCTCCCCAAACCTGCTTCTTCCTGCTCTGCACCAGGCCGGGCTCCCACGGCAGCGG